CACACACACACACACACACACACACGCACACACACACACACACACACACACACGCACGCGACACACACACACACACACACACACACACACACACACACACACATTTCAATCGAGATTCTCTCATAACTATACGGTAAATTGCTACATTCAGCAATTTTCTCTCCAGACTGTCGCTCCTTTTCAACGCAAGTAAGTATCACCGCCGGCGCTGAATTGGGCGCGCTTGCAGAGGGAGGTGGTTCGCCATCTTCGAACAACGTGACTGTTTACAACCGGCTATGTAGCCTACGCAGTAACCACGACGCACAATGCTTAACCTAAACTATATATACCATAGTGGGAAAGAATTTTGCATTGAATGTCATGCTAAGCTAAAAAAAAATCCTATCAATCAGCCGGAGCTACTTCCCATTTCCCATTACAATTTCACCCGTCGGCGCTACATTGAAAGGCACTAAATGAAATTCCGTGCAGCCTCTTTCGTTGACGAGATGGAAAACAAGGTTTGCACACATTCGCCAATGATCTAATCATTTCACCTATCCCAGATTGAATGATGTGGGAGTGTAACGACTAGAGATTTCTGCTATGCGTCCCTAGTAGACGCATATTTTCCGGCGTTTCCTCCTTCCATCCTTAATAACCGATGATCCTGGCTCATTATCGCTACAAGGCTGCTCTCGTGGGACGTAATTCTGTCCAATGAATGTTGCATAGAGCTACTTTGGCTCGGATCGAGTGACCATTTGCTGGTCATTTTCTTATAGAGAGTAGAGGAAGCCGTGCATTATAAATGTCACGACGGAGACATGTTATGATCTTAATGGTCGTCGAAGCATAGATTATTGCGGGGTTCGGTAGCATGTGGCGTGTAAATGGGCCGTATTGGTAGTGTCAGGAGACTATGCAGTGACCACAGACTGCGTTTGCTGCCTCCATTTGTCGTAAACACCGTTCGATTGACATTATTCATTTAAACAATTATTAATGTAAGTCGGTTAGAGAGGCTTCCCTGCTTGCTATCATGCGTGCACGCACACACGCACGCACGCACGCACACACACACGCACGCACACACGCACGCACACACGCAGGCAGGAACACTCGAACTAACGAGTGATCGAACCCACGCAAACAAACGCACACGCGCACGGACACACATATACAGGCATTACGTTATTTTAATTATATTTCTAATCATGTCAAGCTAGTGACTCACCTTGACGCAGATGAGACACACTGGCTGATCGATATTTCTATTACACCGCCAAATATTTGCCAGGTTTATACCGTGCCGCTGTTTCAGGTTACATAAATAACGAAAAACAAACACTGTTCTGTTTGGTGAAGAAAATTGCTATATGGCCTGGGGACAAACATATACCATGGTTTGGGTTACGGCTCTGTGTGTATCAATGTATAGTGACCGTATGTATTATCACTGTATTTATTTACCAGTGCACCATTTCACTATGTGGTCACTAACGTGTTATTAAGGTGGGTAAGTAAAGGTTAGATATGCGAGATGATTGCGATTACAGGAAAGACTCATGCTTGGGTAGAGACAAATTAATAAAGAGACTGTAAAAGTACGTCTGTGCGTAATAAGAGTGCACGGTATGTCAGCAGTAATTGTTGTGATGTAAGGTATTAGTAATCTGCTGTAAATTCACATAGCAACTTAAGCATGCATTTTGGAACGTATTTCTGCAATAAGTACACACGCACGCGCGCACGAACACACACACACACACACACACACACACACACACACACACACACACACACACACACACACACACACACACACACACACACACACACACATACACAGATACATACACACGTGCGCGCATGCATACGCACACGCACACACACAAACATACATATACACGCATACATGCGCGCACACACACACTCGCACGCGCATACGCACACACACAAACGCCCCCCCCCCCCACAGAGAGAGAGAGAGAGAGAGAGAGAGAGAGAGAGAGAGAGAGAGAGAGAGAGAACGAATATATTCGCCCACACAATTTCGCTTCTTGTGTCGTATATTTATCCTGCTAGATTACGGGTCTACATTCTTTCTACTTAAATTTAAACACCATAAAAATTCCATATAATCAGGTGAAGACTGTTAGTTGTAAATTTCAAAGATGGAACATTTCACAATTTTAATATTTTAATCTTCACTTTTTACTGGGATTTATAGCTAGACACTGTCAATAGAAACTCCTGTGCAGGATGAGCGTAAAGAAATCGAATATGCATAAAGTATACAGTTTCGCCGCATTTCATGCGTGACTTCATGATCGAAAGCAGTTTACGTGCACACAGGCTGTAGCAAGAGCGAAGTGACTGAGCTGTGACCTTTATTCCTGCCTCCTTGCGGCAATCAGCAAAAAGTACTTATCAGCGATGATGCGTGCGCGAACGTGTCCCTAAGGTAGTGGATGGAAGTAAAAGCCGGTGGGGGGAGCATCGAGTGTGCTCAAGCAATCTAGCAGCTCTGCGGATAAACCGAATACTCTAACCGCTGTGTTTTCAGTGTAAGGCTGTATAACGTTGAAGGCGGTATTTCGAATTGTTCTCGTATTTTCCATACCGTTCTGATAATTGCCCGTATTGCCCGTATAGCTTGCGCAACAGCGTGTGTCTTAGAGCACTCGTATATTGTCATTTGCACAAATATCTGCAATGATTGTAATTTTGATTTAAATTTTGGTTCTCTGTTGATGTTACGAAATCTTCGGATCTCGAGAGAAAATGTGTACATTTGTTGTATCTATGGAGCCTGTCAGTGCCAAAGACGCCAAAAAATTTAATAATGTTATCACGTTTACCCATTTCTGCCCTATATTGCATATTTGTTATCATCGTGTTAATAGTACGCTCAAATGAATCTGCGATTTATCTTGAAGCATTTCCTTGAAAAAAAAACATGAAAGCCAGCGCCACATTTGCGTATTTGTAAATTTAGATTGCATTGTAATTTACTTTTGCTTCCTTAATTAATGCGGTCGCGCTTTGGGTCGATTGCCCTCCCAGTGACCTTCACACTAATACAGCTTCATTACGTCATTGATGCTTACGCTAATTGATATTGCCATCCTCGCACAACACTTCAATCGTACGCAAGGGCGCTTATATTTGAAAAGTCAAGCAACAAATGACGTCAAAGGCGTTCAACTTTTACAGTATCGACGACCGAAAAGTTTACCAACTCGCTAAACTCGTTAACATTTCAACTAGAAATTTATATTGTAAAGATACATTGATCTGCCTTCAGCTACAGCTTAATTGCTTGTTATGAAAAATCCTACAAAGATGCAGTGATAAATAAGTGAATTTATTATCACCATTCATCGCACCAGTGTCATTAATCTTCCGCGGCGAATTCGCGCACAAACGACCACCCTACTCCATTCCATCTCATCACAAGTACTGCGCCCTCAGCCAACACCCAATCGCACCGAAAACACCAGCCCCCCCCCCTCACGTCCCACCCATCGCAATATTTCGTGTGGAGTGGCATCGTGTGTGCGGCGGCGGTGCCGGTGGCGGAGGTGGTAGTACAGTAGTATAGTATAGGCAGTAGGCTGAACTGGCCGAATGACCAACATCGGTTTTCTTAAAACATTATATATAATTATATATATATATATGAATTACTTTAACGTATTAAAGTAAGCGATTCAAATAATGTATTTTCAGTTCATATTATTGAACGTAAAATATACATTGCGTTACCGCATGCATCAATGCTATGCTGTTCTAAAATATTACTAACCAGATCTGTTATTCTGGATAATTCTATATATAGCTATACCAGTCATGTTCTTGATAATTAATATGTATGCAATATATGTACTGTGTATCGATTGTGTATTCTCTTTGAAGAGACGTGACGTGTATGGAAAGATATGACGAATATGCGCAAAATCCCTGTTTATGTTGCAGACTTGGGGAGATCACCTATAAGATTGCATGACGTTTGCAAACCGCATGTTTACTTCTGCAATGGCAGAGATGACATCTAGCTACAGGGGATATGAGATTGCCATTTTCGTTTTGGTACCTCTCCTAGTCCTGGTTCTGTGTGCTGTGGTAGTCTACGTTCTTTGCTCGAGGAAGTACAAGTAAGTGTTAACATATTAGGCTTCACAAAGGTAGCGATGTTACTTCTTTTGTTTTCAGTTGTTGGAAAATAGCGGAAACGGATGCAATCAGCTCAGCCATTGATCGCGATCTGGTTGTCAACGTTACACAGCATGTAGCGTGCATAATCGTATGGACTGTCGTACTTTTAACATTTTGCTAGGATATGGTTTTCTCTGTATAGTATTTAATATTATAAGCCATTTAATTCCTTCAATGGGTTATACGTTATCCGGATATACTTAATTACGGATTATACCTCAATTCCACCGGCGGATTACATACACATTTAAAGTTCCTTCGGGGGGAATTTCGCCTAAATGAATTGCAGTCGAATGCGTATTTTTTTGACGTGAAAGTGTAGGATGATGATGTCGATATCGATTCCTACAGCGTGTCTGTATAGAAAGCCTGGCGCACACGTGAGTATTTTGACGCATGCATCATTTTTTTCCCTACTTGAGTCCTACTTGAGTACTTCCCTACGTGTACGCCGGGCTTAAGATTATAGTGAAGCGTGTCTTTATAAGGGAAAAGTGAAGCACATAAAACTAGTTCGTGGTATGAAATATGGAAACAAAGGCAAATACCAGATTTACCGATCTTAAAGCAAAATTGTAAATTAAGCAATCATCAACACGTATAAAAACAACGCGTTAAGAAGTTATAATGCAAGAACACGTATATGAACAAGCGAAAGTATGTATGAGTAAATTTGTAATGCTGCAGCTATTTCTTTTTTTTAAATAACGAAATTATTTCTATTACGAATACAATAAGTCGTACCGAATTGCTATCATTACATAGAGAAACGGTCATTTTCGGGACAGTAGTTTTGGAACATTTTTATTATCTGGGATATGAAATACGGAATAAATATCGTGTTTCGCGAATAAAAGTCAACCGGGACACTGGAAATCCGAAATAGCGATTTTAATTTACCGGAATCTGAGAAATGGCATATTTTCACCTGGGAAATTGGGAATGGGTCTTGTTCCCCTTCATTATAATTATCAAAAGCTACACCGATTAGGCTAATCTACAGGTTAGCGGACTGGAACTTTTATCTAAATTTTACTTGTATTTGATTTGAGGTTAAATTGGTACGACAAAACCATGCTGGAAGCGGGGCCCGGACAGGATCCTGAAGATGAAAAGGTAGGAACGTAGCTAAGGCGCTTATATGACAAATATCAGTATAGTGTAAGAATTAATTCTAATTAGTAGTGCGTGTAATATTTACAAGCTGAACAATTGTGAATTACGACACTATCCTCTCTAGTTTGACGTAGACTCAGGCCATATTAATTTCACACGCAACCATTCATTGAGATAATATTGTAGGGCCTACTCGGTATCAAGGTTCAGAAATATAATTTATTAACTGCATGTCGGACATATAACATAGATTGCCAATGACATATGAATTATGATAAAAAAGTAGGTCTTTGGGATATCATAGCTACGACTGTAGTATCAAATACAGAATACTGTGATATGCATAAGATGTGCTTAGAAATTGCAATATCGGAAGCGCCATAACTTACCCTGTCGTTAAGCTAAGTCTGCAAATTGTCAAGTCTACTGCTACATTAGCAATATTATCTGTTATACTTATACGGTTGGGTGTAGAATGATTCTGCTATCTATCATCTTCATTGAAACATCCCTGATTTCATTTTGCCGAAAGTAGGCAATAAATGACGATCACGTTCGAATATGCAGTGGTAATCATTTCTCTAAAATATCATATATTGTTTATGGTAGCTTCTATAGACGCTAAATAGAGGGCAGGTATTTTTCTCTGACTATTATGCACAATAATAGGAGAATGTATCTCAGTAACAGACGGTATTGGCCGGCCTGTAACGTCGTGCATGGTTGACGGTGCCACTGTGGATCATCGGGTTAATGGTCGCAAAGCGCTCATCTATCAGCGAGCAAGAATTGTGCAATTATCAACAGATATAGGTCATTTTGCCACTCACGTCCATGTTAGAGCGATGGCTATCTCACTGAACAATAAATGGAAGTCACCCATGTAGACGTAGCAGCCTTTAATTGTTTGGTTGTCGAAGTGGCCTGAATGCGTCATTGGTGTATGCTGGGGTTCCCATATTTATCGCACATAAATCGCAGCTGCTACAGAAGTCAATATCAACAAATCAAAGACAACGCGATATATAACAACTTAAACACAGAATAACGCGCAAGACTGCAAAATGTGGGAGATAAGACACGTTGGACATATGCTCTAGCCTGGTTAGTATCAGTGTAACCGTGGTAGTGATTTAAGAAATATAAGCAATTACAAAATCTGAATATCTCCACCCAACACATTGCTATCTATAATACACGCATAATTATGACTAATGTTATGTCAAACAATGATCAACGATCTGTCACAACGGAAAACATCGAACAACTCTCACGGTAGTAGACATGTTGCAAATACAGCAATACAACGGTTAGTAACCAATGCTAATTCGCTTGCCAGTATACACAGTTGGTAAATTATGATATTGCGCTAATGTGCTTTTCATGTACATCAACCAATAAATGATGTATAGGTTCATCGATCAGCTGAGCGTTTCTAGCTCGGTCGTGTAGAACATCATGAAAATGACGAAGATATAGTAAAATTAATTCGTTATTTATAACGTTGTTTTATTAATAAATATAAAAAACGCGTATATATATATATATATATATATATATATATATAGACCTGGATAATCCATTTTGTTATGTGAATGCTTAATTTGAGTTGCCAACTAACAGTTTTAGCTATACTAACCGCAGTGAATGTAGTGAAAGTACACTCATGTCAAATACCCTTGAGAGCGCTCCCTCCAATAATACACTTGGGGGGGTCCGTATGTGCGTGCGTGCGCGCGTGCGTGTGCGTGCGTATCATATCATATCAAATCATATCCAAGCATTTTATTGCAGAGGGTATTTATCAAACGAAAGGTGTTTACAAATAAGTTGGGCAGTGTCAACAGCAGCTGTGAGGTCAATGATCAGTTTTGGGTTCCGACTAAACAGCTCAGCTATACCGACCGCAGTGACTTTGGCGAAAGTGAAGGTACACTCATGACTCGTCTCTTCTTTGGAGCGTACCTCCTCTGTTAATACACTTGCTATAATTTCGGCAAACTCATTTCCTTCGTTATTATATTCTGATTTTCATTATCTACTTCTCTTAAATTCACTTCACATTTTACACGAAGTTCTTACATCGTTTAGCGTATGTGTTTGCATTTAAATAAGATAATCAAAAGCTGTAGTTTACAACCGCGATTATACATGGCGGCTTGATTCGACAGATTAAATTAACAGTGAAATAAATTTCTGGGTGTTGTGGTTGGGCAGGATAGCGTGACCGGCATGTATTCCGCACGGGTATAAACATGCTATGAGACTTGTTCCGTGCCAATTAACCGTCTCTTTGTCGCTTCTATATTCGAAGACGATCACTCCCAGCCTATCACGCCTAACACGCCGCTAGGCATCAAGGTCCCATCATTTCACCTGGCGGCTGAGAGGCTGTCGCAGAGGACCGTACAACCCCCATCATCCCCGGGAGCGAGCAGTGGCGAATCGAGTCCAAGATTGTCTAGGGGAAGGTTCGCGTCCATGCACGCGAAGCTGGACCACACTAAGATAAACAGGTAAATTCCCCAGCATGTTATTACCACACTAAGAAAAACAGGTAAATTCCCCTGTGTTATTACCGCACCGGTATCATCAGGCGAAGCCGCCGACTATTTTCGGCACAATTATCTTCATGGGATGACGACAGCTGCAGCTATGCAGTCAGCTGAGGATGCAGTGCAGTGCGTGTCAGCAACAGAACGTGGTGCGCGAATTCTCGAAGACATTGCGGAGCTTGCTGTTCCAGCAGTACTGATCTAATTATGCGTGGAGTTAATTAAACGCGCATATGGGCTTCACGAATACATACATATATGGAACATTCTCTAGCAAGACCAATATTCTACTAGTATATATCGGTTATTAACTTGCGTGCGTGTGTGAGTGCGTATGCCGGCACGCGTGTATATGTGGTTATGTGTGCGATTATGATTGATTCAGCATGCAATGCTTGTTTAACTTGTTATTACTCAACGCGTAACTAGTTAACCTGTTTCCGCGCTACACTGAAATGATTATGCTTTGATGCTGCAGAGATATGTACAAAAAGGGTGTGCTTACGAAGACAACAGACTCACAGGGAAGCATCCCCGAAGAGATACTTGGGTCCATGCACATGACTCTGTCCTTCAACAGGGAGATTTCTTTGCTCACGGTTCATTTCCTACAGGTACGAATCCTCTGCATGGTCTAGATCTTTTAAGTTCGTGTGACAAAGCACTTACTGTTCATTAGCTGTGTGCGCACTCAAATATGTGGTTCTAAATGTATGTCATTGTGTCAACGGAAAGTGAGTATATCGACGTTGACAGCACATCCAATCTGGCGTCCGTTGCCAGGCGCATCATAAATAGTGATGGCTGTCCTAAATCTAAAAATGCGATAGCTTTTGCACCACACTCCACTTAAAAATTATGACACGATGTTTGGTGGTAGTTAAGAAAGATTTTAAAAGAGGCAGTATAGCGTACACCGGATTTTGCCAAAATATATTTATAGAACCATTTAGGTGTATGCTTATATCCCTATTCAATACAAATTCTGTTCACTACGATAATATGTTGCATTCCTAAAAATTTTAATAACTGAAATTGCTGCTGACATGTTGGTAAGTTCAATCCATTTTAAACAGAAATCAATTTTCTTGTCTGTGACTCAACTGCAACTGAGCCACCCGTCAATATAATGATCTGTCGTATCTATAAACCGCACAGAGTATTCATAACGACAATGAATGCGCCTAAATAAAGGTAGCATTGTCGATGTTAAAAGATATCTGTACGCCTGGCTATACCTTTGATAAAATTAGAAATGTTAAGAGTGGTATGATTTGTACGTGGATAAAGAAAGTAATGTCAGTTAATTTTGGCAACAAACAACATTCTCAGTCTTGTGATATGTAGGCTTTTCAATCTGTCCAAACAAAACCTGCAGATTCAGAACTTATCGGCCAAAGACATAACACGTGCACCCAACCCGTACTGTAAGCTAACCATAGGACCGGAGCGCAGACAGCAAGTACAGAGCAAAACGCAACAGAGGACATTTAACCCCGAGTTCAACGAAGAATTCCTGTTAGAGGTAGGACTACTTTCGCTATGTAACTTTCCAATTAGCTTATGATCGTTGAGCCCCTCAGCACTACAAGCGTGGTATGTTATTTTTAACTAACGAATAATTCGCCCACACAATTTCGCTTCTTGTGTCGTATATTTATCTGCTAAGATTACGGGTCTACATTTCTTTCCTACTTAATTTAAAACACCATGAAAATTCCTATAAATCAGAGTGAGACTGTTTAGTTGCTAAATTTCAATAGATGGAACATTATCACAAATTTTAACTAATTTTAATTTCCTTCACTTTTTACTGAGGATTTATGGCGGCTAGGACACTGTCATAGAAACTCCTGGGCAGGAATGAGCGTAAAGAATCGCAATATGCAAGTAAAGTATACAGTTTCGCCGCATTTATGGCGTGAATTCCTGAATCGAAAGCAGTTTACGTGCACACGCAGGCTGTAGCAGAGCGAAGTGACTGAGCTGTGACCTTTATTCCTGCACTCCTGCGGCATATCAGCAAAAAAGTACTCTATCAAGCGATGATGCGTGCGGCGAACGTGTCGCTAAGCGTAGTGGCATGGAAGTAAAAGCCGGTGGGGGAGCATCGAGTGTGCTCAAGCAAGTCTAGCAGGCTGCGAGATAACCGAATACTCTAAACCGCTGTGTTTGTCAACGTGTAGGCTGTATACTTTAAAGGCGGTATTCGATTGTTCTCGGTATTTTCATACCGTTGCTGATAATTTGGCCCGTATTGCCCGATATGCTTTGCGGCAACAGGCGTGTGTCTTAGAGGCACTCGTATAGATTGTCATTTGCAAATATCGCAATGAGTTGTAATTTTGATTTAAATTTGTTCTCTCGTTGACGTACGAATCTTCGGAATCTCGCAGAGAAAATGTGTAGCATTTGTTGTATCTAGACGCCAAAAAAAAATTTTTTTTTAATGTTATCACGGTTACCGGCCATTTCTGCCCTATATTTGCATATTTGTTTCATCTCGTCGCTTACATAGATACGCTCAAAGTGAATCTGCGAGTTTATCACTGAAGATTTCTTGAAAAAAAACCATGAGCCAGCGCCACATTTGCGTATTTGTAAATTAGATCTTGGCCATTGTAATTTAACTTGTGCTTCTTAATTAAGTATGCGGTCGCGCTTTGGGTCGATTGCCCTCCCAGTGACCTTTACACTAAATACAGCTTCATTACGTCATTGAGCTTCAGCTGATTGATATTGCCATGCCTCAGCACAAACACTTGCAATCGTACGCAGAAAGGCGGCTTATATTTAAAAAATGAGTCAAGCAAACAAATCTGACGTCAAAGGCGTTCAACTTTTAACAGTATCGACGACGAAAAGTTTTAGCCAACTCGCTAAACTCGATTAACATTTCAACTAGAATTTATATGTAAAGATACATTGATCTTGCCGCTTCCAGCTACGCTGTAATTGCTTGTTATGAAAATCCTACAAAAGTGCAGTGATAAATAAGTGCGAATTTACGTTATCAGCCATTCATGCGCACCAGTGTCATTAATTCCTCGCGGGCGAATTCGCGCACAAAACGACCGACCCTACTCCATTCCACTCGATCACAAGCTATGCGCCCTCAGCAACCCCAATTCGGCAACCGAGAACCTAGCCCCTCCCCGCTCCCCACCCACGCGCAATATTCGTCGTGGAGTGGCCTCGTGTGTGCGCGGGCGTGGCGGTGGCGTGAGGTGGTAGTACAGACTAAGTATAGACTAGACAGTAGGCTGAACTGGCACGAATGACCAACATCGCTCTGTTGTCTTAACAACGATTATGAATAATTAAATACATACTATAGTATATAAATTACTTACGTCATTAAAAGTAAGGCGATTCAATAAGTAGTTCTCAGTTTAATATTTTGAACGTAAAATATACATCGTTACGCATGCATCAAATGCCTATGCGCTGTTCTAAATATTATTCTAACTCATGATCTGTTGATCTGCGACTAATTCTATTCACTAGCTATACCGAGTAATTGTCTCTTGATAAATTAATATGTAATGGCAAAGATTATGTACTGTGTATCGATTGTGTATGTCTTTGAAGAGACGTGACGTGTAATGGAAGATATGAGCGAAATCTCGCACAAGCCCTGTTATGTTGCAGCTTGGGGAGATCACACTATATAAGATTGCATGACGTTTGAAACGCCAGTTTAACTTCTGGAATGCGTCAGATGATGACATCTAGCTACAGGCGGGATATGAGATATGCATTTTCGTGTTTGGTAGCCTCTCCTAAGTCCTGTTCTGTGCTGGCTGTGGTCAGTCTTAGCGTTCCTTTGGCTGAGGAAGCTACAATAAGTGTATAACATATTAGGCTTCACAAAGGTAGCGATGTTATGTTCTTGTTTTCAGTTGTTGGAAAATAGCGGAAACGGATGCAATCAGCTCAGCATTATGATCGCGATCTGGCTTGTCAACGTTTACAGCCAGCATTGTACGTGCATATCGTATGACTGTTCGTACTTTTACTATTTGCGCATAGATAATGCGTGGTTCTCTGCTAGTATTAATATTATATCAGCCATTTTAAATTCCGTTCATGGTTATACGTTATCGCGGATATTACTTATTACGATTATACCTCAATCCCACCGGCGGATTAATACACATTTAAAGTCTTCGGGGAATTTTCGCAGCTAAGATGAATTGGCAGTCGTCTAATGCGTCCATTTTTTTGCGCTGAAGTGTAGGGATGATTGTATGTTCGCGATATCAGATTCCTACAGCGTGTGTCTGTATGATAGAAAGCCTGGCGCACCACGGTGAGTATTTTGCCGCATGCATATTTTTTTGCTCCTACTTGAGTCACTTGAGTACTTTCCTACGTCGTGCGCCGGCTTAAGATTATATGAAGCGTGTCTGTATAAAGGGAAAAGTGAAGCACAATAAAACTATAGTTTCGTGGTATGAAATATGGAAACAAAGGCAATACCGAGATTTACCGGATCTTAAAGCAAAATTGTTAATTAAGCAGTATCATCACACGTATAAAGCAACGGCGTTTTAAGACATGTTATTAATGACACAGAGCAACGTATATCTGAACAACAAGCGAAAGTATGTCATGAGTAAAAATGTAATGCTCGCAGCTATTTTTTACTTTTTTTAAATAACCGAAATTATTTCTATTAGCGAATACAAGTAAGTCGTAGCCGAATTGCCTATCATGTACATAGAAAAACGGTACATTTTCGGGAACGTTCGTTTTTGGAACATTTTATTATCTGCGGATCATGAAATACGGAATAAATTATCGTGTATTCGCGGAATAAAACTGTCACACCGGGGACCACTGGAAATCCGAAATATCGATTTTAATTTTACCGGAATCTGCAGAATGGCATATTTTCACCTGGGAAAATTGGGAAATAGGTCTTGTTCCGGTCTTCATTATAATTATCAAATGCTACCACCGATTAAGGCTAATCTACAGGTTAGCGGACTGAACTTTAGCATAAATTTTACGTTGTATTTGATTTTAGGTTAAATTGTAGCGACAAAACATTGCTGGAAGCGGGCAGGACAGCATCCTGAAGATGAAAGGTAGGAAGCGTAGCTAAAGTAGCCCTATAATGATAATAATTACAGTATAGTGTTAAGAATTAAATTCTAAATATAGTAGTGCGTGTAATATTTCACAAGCTGAAACCAATTTGTGAATTACGACAGCTATCCCTCCATCTAGTTCTTGACGTAGAGCTCAGGCCATATTAATATTACACGCAAACCATTCATTTGAGATAATATATTGTACCCTCTTCGGGTAATCCCATAAAGGTTCAAGCAATATAATTTATTAAACTGCATGTCGACTATAACACTAGATTGGGCGAATGGCATAACTGAATTATTGATAAACAAAGTGGCCTCTATTGGGTTATCCAATAGGCTACGAACTGTAGTATAAAATACAGAATACTGTGATATGCATAAGATGTGGCTTAGAAATTAGAAATATCGGAAGCGCATAACTCTACGCCTGTCGTTAAGCTAAGTCTGCAATTGTCAAGTCTACTGCTAACATTAAAGCGAATATATTCTGTTTATAACTTTATACGGTTGGGTGTAAGAGATTCTGGCTATCTATCATCTTCATTGAAAACATCCCGGCTGATTTCATTTTGCCGAAAGTAAAGGTCAATAAATGACGGACTCGTCGCGCACAGTTCGAATATGAGTGTAATATTTCTGCTAAAATATCATATATTGTGTATGGTAGGCTTCTATAGACCTAAATAGAGGCAGGTTTATTTTTCTTTCTGACTATATCACAAAGAATAGGAGAATGGTATCTCAAGTAACAGACGGGTATGCCGGCCTGTAAGTCGTGCATGGTTGACGGTGCCACTGTGGATCATCGGGTTAATGGTCGCAAAGCGCTCCATCTATCAGCAGAGGGCAAGATTGTGCAATATCACAACGATCTAGGTCATTATTTGCCACTCCACGTGCGCATCGTTAGAGCGATGGCTATCTCACTGGAAGCAGATAAATGGAAGTCACCCATGTATACGTAGGCAGCGTTAATTGTTTGGTTTCGAAGGTGCCCTGAATGCGTCATTTGTGTATCTGGGGTCCCGAATATTATTCGCACATAAATCGGCAGCTGCTACAGAAGTCAATATAACAAATCAAAGACAACAGCGGAATATATAACAAATCTTAAACACAGAATAACGCGCAAGTCTGGCAAAGATGGTGGAGGATAAGTTGGACGATATGCTCTAGCCTGGTTAGTATCAAGTGTAACCGTGTAATGTTTAAGAAATATAAGCAATTACGAAAATCTGAATATCTCAGCGCCAACACATGCTATCTATAATACAGCGCATAGTTAGACTACTGTTATGTCAAACAATGAATCAACGATCTGTCACAACGGAAACATCGACAACTCTCACGTAGTAGACATGTTGCAAATACCAGCATAGCAACGGTTAGTAAGGCCAATGGGCTAATTCGCGTTGCCAGTTATACACAGTTGGTAAAATTTTATGATATTTGCGCTAATGTTGGCTTTCATGTACATGCAACACCAATAAATTGCATGTATGGTTCATTCGATCAGCTGAGCGGTTCTAGCTCGGTCGTGTAGAAGCAAATCATGAAAAACTGACGAGATATAGTAATAATTAATTCGTTATTTATAAAACGTTGTTTTTATTATAAATATAAAAAAACGCGTTATATATATATATATATATATATATACTATATATAGACCGGCTGGATTAGATCCATTGTTAGTTATGTGAATGCTTTAAATTTGAAGGGTGGTGGGCAACGAACAGTTTAGGCTATACTGACCGCAGTGATTTAAGTGAAGTAACACTCATAGAGAGAGAGAGAGAGAGAGAGAGAGAGAGAGAGAGAGAGAGAGAGAGAGAGAGAGAGAGAGAGCAAGTTAGAGAGCAAGAGAGAGAGCGAGAGAGACAGAGAGAGAGAGAGAGAGAGAGAGCAAGAGAGAGAGCAAGATAGAGAGCGAGAGAGACAGAGAGAGAGAGAGAGAGAGAGCGAGAGAGGGGGGGGGGAGAATATCGGAAACGCAGAATCCATGTTCCTAATGTCCTAAGCCATTGTACGTGTTAATCTTCTGCAGGTGAGCGATATAGAGTCTAGTCTGCTTGAGGTAGAGGTTTTCGACTTTGACCCGTGCTGCAAACACGATTGCTTTGGAGTGGTGACGGTGCCTCTGCGTGACCTCAACCTATGCGAGCCACTTACCGTTTCAACAGGAATTACGGCACCTATTGACACAGCACCAAATAATGTGAGTTATATCATCACTACACGTATTGTCAGGAAAATTTAACAGGGACATCCAAGCGAATCGTGCGAAAACATCGAAAACACGTGATCAATAGGCAGAGACGTGAATAAATTTGAACCTAATTTGGTTCGAAAATATAATGGTGTATTATTTACAATGCTGTGTTTTGCCGTAACATTAATTTTGTGTAAAATCAGTGCATATCTTTTGTTTTAATATATATATATATATACGAAATCAGTTATTGTTCTACGACGCTAACTCCGCAAGATGTTTTGAATAATGAGTTCCATCATGCATAGATCATAGTTACTGTGCAATATTTGGTTGCGTATATAAGGAGGATGTTAGAAGTTCACCGTGCTTGCAGTGTAGTCTAGGAGAACTACAATTCTCGATCAGTTACCTGACGAGCGCTGAGAGACTGACACTGGTTATCATGCGAACCCGGTATATGAAGATAGATGGCAAATCGTCAGGTAAGTTCCATCAGGTCTACACACACACATATGCACGCAAGCACACACGCACGCACGCACGTACGCACGCACGCACGCACGCACGCACTGCCACCAGCATCAGGTAGACCTCGGTAAGGCCCACGCTAGACGTCCACACGGCGTCCTCTACGTAGAAGTATGTGTCGCTGCCGTAGCGCCACTGACACAACGATATCAGATGCACGCAGATAAACGGCACGAAACACACAGCAAAGACGACAGCGCACACCAGGAGGCGCCACGATAGCCGCGCCTCGTTCTGGCGGCCGCTGCGCTGCGCTAGCATCGCCGAGTCGCGTTGGTGCGCGCGGTAGCAGCAGTAGAGCTTAGCGTAGATGGCGCACGTCGCTGCAACCACCGACACACAAGCGAGATCGATAAACATCCAGCAGTAGACGGCGACGTTGTAGCGAGGCGGCCGCGCAAAGCACAGCAGGAGGAACACGCCGCTGACGCACAGACTTATTGTCCACTGCGTGGCGACGATGCCCCGCATTTTGGTCGGCGTCATGTACCACCGGTGTCGCATCGGCTTCAGCACGGCCATGTAACGGTCGATAGCTATCACGCACAAACTCGTAGCCGACACGGACAACAGCCAGAAGCTTGTCATCTTCGACAGATGCATCAAGACAATGTTGGCGTCGTCAAGGACGCCCACGCCTCTTCTCACCTGCATAAAGCAGACGATTGTCAGCCAGAGGGCGCTGGCGAGCAGGTCTGCTGTCGCCAGGCTGCCGACAAGCACGAGGATGGAGGTGCTGCGACGGATGCTGCAGATGGCGAGGACGACGGGCAGGTTGAAGGCGATGGCGACCGTCGATATCGAGATGGATAGAACGGGGACGGCGACGGACGCGTGTTCGAAGCGGTCCCAGAATGTGACAAAGTCAGGTGACAGTTGTCGCCACGCCGTCACATTGTCACCAAACTCCAGCATGTTGTGTGGGCTCGTACCGTTCAGCGACAGCACGTCGGGATTGGCCGCGGAAGTGACAACGTTAGTGATGTCTGACTTGAACATTATATATGGGTTTAAACACAGAATCACTGAATCCGGGACTCAACACTGGATCCGGCTTTACCAGTGAGCCTGACTTCATAAATAAGCAGGACTTTAAACAGTTATTTATTGTATCTAATGATGTATTTCGTGCCTAGAGACTAATAGACGCATATTACCCTCGTAATTTGTAATAGCTCTGATGGGAAAAATGCCCGGGCATATGCGTCTAAACCTATAACGTGTCTTGTTCGTAGATTATCCATAAACACGGTTCCAGTGTCGTGTATTTAGCTATAATAGTAACAAAAGATACTAGTACTACTCAAGGAATTTTACCTATGCATCCTGTACTGTTATCCGCAGACCTGTACGTAAAGGTGTCACTGCTACGTGGCGGCAAACGTTTAAAGAAAAAGAAAACGTCAACAAAGAGAAACACGCCGAATCCCGCCTTTCATGAAGCTCTGGTTTTTTCCGTTTCAAAGGAACTTCTCTCAAACCTTACAATTGAACTGATGGTGAGCGTTGATATGCTCGCAAGAATTTTCTACCTCAACGAAGGCAGACTACCTGCGAGTAAACATAAATGAAACCGGAAGTATAAATTCGAGGCAGCTTTTCAATATACATCTCAGTTATCTGGTAGTCATGCATTCTCTTGTGTTGAACTGACAGGTCTTACGCGCTACTTACGGGCAGAGTAAATCAGAAGTCATATTTAGCAATTACAATAAATCACGGTAAGGTCGTGCGCGCGTATTTTCACGTATATTTGTGTTAGTGGCTAATATTGATCTTACTAACGCAGGTTATCAACGAGAACTTGCTGGGGAACAATGAGGTGATGGGTCGCATCATCCTCTCATCCGAAAGCAAAGGCTTAGAGCTTGAGCACTGGCTGGATGTTGTAAACATCCGCAACGCCACGGGTCGCTGGCACTCCCTCGTTTGATTGATTGCCAGGGCAACATATATCGACGTCGCTAGCCGATAAACCTGACTGGATTCATGCGTGACACAATTACTGTTGCCGTATCTTCCCGGTAGAAGATACCCGACACGCGCTTAACTTATGGCTATTTGTGTACATTCTGATGAACATCAGAGTCAGAGTCTCATTTCTGTCTATGTCAACATGAAATAAATTATTATTAGCCACGAGATTCGTGGCGATGGTTTAGATTCTAACGTGGGTAGCTCCAATAAGTCCAGATTTCTGAGTTGATAAATTTTAATTTCCCGGTGATAAATGCACATGCATAGTAATAAAAGTACCAAGAGAGTCCTGATGGGGTACCCCAAATCTTATTGCGTAGTAAATATTTGGATCTTTCCCAATTATCCGTAAATATTTATCGTTCTCATTATAATCTATTGATGATAATCATGATGATATAAGCATTAATCATATCATCATAATCATTAATCATATCATCATTGATGATATAATCTTACTGAAAAAAAATCAATAGGCTTAATATAAGAATGCTGGTGACAATCGAGGCAAAACAAAATTCGCGGTAAAGAATTAGACGTTTTCACACAAATGCTAATGTCTAGAAGAGAATCATGAGTCAAGCCAAATAGAGAATCATGACTAGCGGTAAGAAATTCTAGCTTTTCACTATAATATGAAAATGTATAGCCATGTTACGCCACGTGCCATACACCCTATACACCCTATCATGCAGCACCCTCCACCATGCAAATTTGGCACACATCTAATACCTTTCGCGGAGCACTTCTACTTAGCATGTTTGGGCGGGGCTAGATGCCCCACTATAGTTTCGTGGCATTAGAGTTTGATTTTAGTAAAAATTAATTTTATTAGATAATTAGTTTATTTGGATTTATACAAAATTGGGCGCCATTGAATTTTGAAATGCATTTTTGAATATATCTCTCATTTCGAGTAACATATTTTTGTGGATTCGGTTGCGAGGCTATAGTTTTGGAACACGTGATCTTATATTATTACATATATTAGGCCTACATAGTACATATAAGTGGAGATATATTCAAAGAAATGTATTTACAAATTTCCTGGCACATGTTTTTCTATGTGCAAATGAGGTAATTAACTAACCATCTTAAATTTAACTTGAAACAGTTAAGTATGTCACAAAACGGTATTATAGCATTCAAAATGTTAGTTGGAAATGGAGAAATGCACAAAGAAATGTATTTTTAAACCCTAGTGCGGCCATCCTATAATGAAAATGTTTTACCACTCCCTTTAACAGGAAATTTCACTCCGGTCCACTTTTCATTTTACTTAACGACTCTCAAAGTACCTGTATGTGGGTGCTATAAAGCTTCACTAGAGGACTCGACGAGCATAATATATCTGTTCATTCGAGTAATGTCTGGTGGGTTTATGGTAAGACAAGTTACAGGCGAAGAAAATAGAGCGATGTTTACCGTCGCCATAATTTTATCAATAACTAGGCCCTACCAGTGATTGCTCCATTCAAAAGCACCGATATCTATTTTGTGGTTAAAAACGCACATGTCAATAATTAAACAATTACATGTAATCCAATGCTAATATCAGACAAAAGGGTGTTGTTCTCGGTGGCTTCAAGTATGTCGCATTCTGGCGTCCTTTGTTTGTACGTGAGTAGAGTGCATGTTTATTATGTATATCTCCCTTTACTCAAAAATAGTAAATAAACAGATGAATAGATTCTGTTCTATTTTCAAGCCATGGTTGATTTATAACACACTGTATGGGGAAAGATATGAAATGTAAACTGTGTACATTTTTACATCAACTGACTGCTCATTATGATGTTTCTTGAATGCCAAATCGCTATTTAGGTAACATATCCCACCATCTACCAAAAAACACAGCACAATGGATACATGTAATATTATCGGATACAGTGTATGATTGTCGTACTGCAATTTTAGGTAATAATTCCTTTGTCATAGAACTTATATAGACATTTTTATTAGATGCTCTCTGAAATGACCACCATCGGCGACCTTACCACCTACTCAGCACGTACCCTCCATCCAAGCAGCGGCGATGGAGCTCGATTTATTATATAACGTCTATTTATTTTCTATACCCACGATAAGCATGCAGCTGTTACCAATCCTGTCAATGAGCCACCTAAACCAAATTCAACCTTATTTAGTAATGTGCTATGTCTATGAGTGATTATAGACTGATAAAAGTGTGTAAAATACGTATTGATAACGGCTTCTAAAATCAGAATACTTAGGTAATTACAATGTACCTACTATATACATGATTATATGAAATAATTATATTTTTCTATGTGTTTTGCCACTGTTTCAGCAAATATTACCAGTTTATGTTCAGTGACGCTTTTCATCATTCTTAACCTCATGAACATACGGAGATTGTGATGCAGGTGGTTTGTTATGTGTAAACAACGCATAGCTGCATTGAATACATTCATCAAACGTTACATTAGTTCTACATAAGGTAACAAAAAGCTAAATGTCAAGTATGTACACTGTATGCACCACTGTATATTATACACATTTATATTTGTAGTGACATTGCAAGTGATATTATACGCATGTACGTTACGTGTGTTTGCTACTTCACAAAGAGTGTCCTGATAAATTTCAAGTGGATTCTTTGTGAAGGTATATATGACAGACACCTGTATACACCAGCTGGCAACAGCTACGCACACACCGCCACACGCACTTGCACATACGCGCTCGCGCACGCGCACCACACACACGCACGCACGCACGCACGCACGCACGCACGCACGCACGCACACACACACACACACACACACAGACAGACACACAAACAAACA